TCATATTTATCTGATAGATTCCAGTTTGTAAATGTAAATAATGAAACTTCATCATACATCAAAGTTAGTCACGGAGTCCCTCAGGGTTCAGGGTTTGGACAAAGACTCTTTACTTTTAATATGCTTTATAGAACTGCATCAACATGCCAGGCATGTCACAGTGGGATGTCCCAGTGGGTTTCAAACCCCAGTACGATGGCTTGCCTCCCAGCATGTGAACAACTAGTTTTGGCTTCAACTACTGGTAGTGTCATGGAAAAAAGGAGATTTCCAAACAGACTTGGACCTGAGTCTGTGCACAGAGGAGTTTAGATCTCCTGAACTGAAGACCCGGCATGCAGATTTGGCCACTTTTACATTAAGAGTTTTTCAGAAAGAACTCAGTGGTCTATAATAATGATAATAATACGATGATGATGATGATGAGTGAAAATAATACACATTACACTGACACCAGCAAACTGGTTGATCCTGTAAGAGAATGTGCTGTTTATAGGACTGAGTCTTTTGGACGTTTCAACAAGAAGAATCTGTCCGGAGGACCTGACTCCACCCTGTTGTTCTGCTTTGCCGTGTGAAGTGCGGCTCCGCTCGGCGCTCTTCCTCTTGGTTCTTCTCAGGTGGAGGTGATTTGCCACTACAGTGGAGCCTGACCTGTTTCCCTGCTCTGGGGGTGGGATTGTTCATTTGTGTTTGATACACTCCACCCGTTGCGGTCCTTAATCGTCCTGTAATCAAACTTCATTTTCTTTAGCTTATCTCTGCACTCCATCATCCATCATCTCCGATATCTCTCTGTAAATACGCTCATTTCTTGTGGCGCCCGCCGTCAACACGATGAGGAAGTGGAGGTTCAGATGTAGTTTTCAGTTTTGCTGCGGGTCAACCAGTGATGTAGCTCCGCTGGCCAATGGCTGCTTTTAACGTCAGTATTGGCCTCTTAGAGCCCACTTGGAACCTGAAACAAGGTGGTCCCATAAACTGGGCTGAGTGGGGTGGATACCAACAGTGGAGAGGCTCTTAACTGGTGCAGAGCCAAAGAGAGTTGAGACGGTGGCAAACCACCATTGCTGCTGTAGTTTTCTGTGAAAGGATTTTAAAGTAGAAAGTCTGGTTATGTGCCAATACATCTGCACCTTGTCTGGAAATTGGAATTAATTTATTCGTTTGCTTTTTGTTAATTGCATAGCTTTCATAAACATAAATGATCTTAACTTCTTGTTTTAGAACCCGTACAGTTCGTCCCGACTCTGTGGGTCAACCATGTTTTGAGAGTCCAGCTCGCCCGTTCTGGGCAGACACATCCAGTTTGAGGAGACCAAGCCCATACTGAAGATTGTTAAATCTGATGAAGCGAGTTTGAACATTTAGAGAAAATTTGAATACTTGCAAATTTGAGAAGTTTTTCCAAAAATGCCTGTCCCTAATGTCTTCTATTCATATTTCTGTTAATGTTTTGTAACGTGGCGCCTCTGGATTTTATGTGGATAATATAAAACACGGTGGCACGGAGGCTCAGTTGGTAGAGCTATTGCCTCTCGTCAAGAAGGTCGCAGGTTCAAATCCCGGCCTGGGACCTTTCTGGGTGGAGTCTGCATGTTCTCTCCGTGCACGTGTGAGTTTTCTCCAGGTGCTCCGGTTTCCTCCCACAAACCAAAAACGTGCATGTTAGACTGATTGTAACTCTAAATTATCCCTAAGTGAGTGAGAGACGGAATGGTTGTTTGTCTCTGTGTCCCTGTGATGGACTGGAGACCTGTCCAGGTGTCCCTGTGATGGACTGGAGACCTGTCCAGGTGTCCCTGTGATGGACTGGAGACCTGTCCAGGTGTCCCTGTGATGGACTGGAGACCTGTCCAGGTGTCCCTGTGATGGACTGGAGACATGTCCAGGTGTCCCCCACCTCACACAGTGACTGCTGGATATAGAAACCAGTGACCCCACCAACCCGACAAGGAAGAAGCGGGTAAAAAGATGGATGGTTAATGTAAAATGTACAAACTTAGGTAAACAGATGACAGAGGTTGCTTAACAAAATATGAAATTAGATTTTATTGTGTAGTTCTTCTAGGACTTGTGTGGAGAAAGCTGTTCCACCTACGATGCTCGGTGCACTTGAACGAGCCGCGGTGCTGCTGCCCTCGCTCCAGTATAATCTGACACTAATTATACGCTTACTTTGTTCTCTGAAGGGTCCTGATTGTCTGCTCTGACACGGCAGTATAAAAAAATGAGCTGTAATGAAAGGTATAATTTCCCATCAGGGAGCTACTCAGCAGTGAAAGAAAGAAACCAGTAAATAACTGAGAAGTGTATGAACATGCATTTAACGCTTCTTGATTCTGTCACACTGTGAACGCATCAGTTCTGCCTTTTCGAGCGTGTTGTGGACCGTTTGTGTTTCGTCTGTGGGTTTTGTCGTCACGTTGTAGGAGCGGCTCAGACGTATTTCTCAACTTTAAAAAAAACGGAGCTCTGAAATGAGTGGGAAAGTAAAATGAAGTGTTGCGAAGAGAAGAAATAGAGAGAAACTGATAAACGTGGGGGTTTGTGCAGCTGAAGCATGGAAGAGGTGCCTCTGTGTGTGTGGGTCTTTGTTTTTTAGTTAAATGACTCTTCAGGGATCAGATGTTCTTTGTTTTTTATGTTTCATGCTAATGAAGCTTTTTTTTTTTAAGCGGTGTTGATTTATAAGCCTAGAGTGTGTGTTTGCAGTGTGGGTAGGTGTGTTGGTGATAACTCGCTCCCTGGTCGGCGTATGATGAGCTGCCTGTTTTTACTTTTCTACGTGCAGCCAATGAGGGGCGAGATGGAAACGGTTCTTCCCTGTGGGTCTAATAACAAACATGGCGGAGCGACGCTCGCCTGGCAGCGAGACGCACAGCAAGTCGACTTCTGACTTCACAAACTCACTCGCTCTTGCTCTTCGTGCTGTTTTTATTCATTTGCTTTTTTTACGTCCTCTTCACACAAACTCGAGCATCTGTCTCGTGCGCTTGCGTGCACGAAGATGTGTTTTAATCAGAGCATCAGGCAGGAGGAGGCAGAGCGCTCGCCGCCTCTCAGTCAGAAACCTTCAGTGTTGAGCCGCCTGTTGGCACCGGCGACTGGAGATGAAGAGCATTTCACTCTTCCTCCACGCTCAGGAGCTGCACCATGCTGAGCAGTAACTTTAGGCTGTTAGTGGCTTAAAGGTAGGCCTGTTTCACCTGTTTTATCTCAGTAACTTTAAGCTGTTTTAACATTAAGGTAGGCCTGTTTCACTTGTTTTATCTCAGTAACTTTAGGCTGTTTTAACATTAAGGTAGGCCTGTTTCGCTTGTTTTATCTC